AAAAAAAAAGAACTACACAAAACAACAAACAAACAAAAAACAGGAAAAAGAAAAAAAAGGTCTGCGGGGCAACCCGTAGGCCTCCGCTTTCCCTCCACGACGGCGTGTGCGTGTGCGAAGAGAAGAGAGGCGCAGGCACACGCACGGTGGGCGGAAATGTGCCGGCGGGCGCAGACAACACACACGCACGCACAGAAATAAACATATAAAAAAAAGAGAGAATCAACGGCGGAGCGCGCGGTTCGCCGCAGCGCCGCCAAACGCCTCACACGCGCGTCGAGGCGACACACACAAGGCACCGCAGGCAGAAAACGCCACAGACAGAGAGAGAAACAAAAACAAAAACAACAACAACACAAAAAACACAATTGTCAGACGGAACAAAAGCACTAGAGAAATCAAAAACAAAACTCAACTAAACTGCTGAGAAGTAGAGGAAAAGCAAAGCTAGACGGCGCCACTAGAAACGAGTATAAAGAACACACAGGCGTATGAAAAGAGAGGGATGGTCAGTGTGTGTACATGAGTATATTATCTATCCATATGTGTGCGCGTGCGCAGACACGTGGATGGACCGAGGCGCATGTAGGCGGCCTTCGGCTGAGCACGCCATCGAGGCCGATGCACCACCGCACTACACACATTTCATGCGGTCGCACACACTGGCCGGCACGAGTGCCGAGATCCGCGCAGTCGCCTTGGCACCGATGCCAAGCGCGAGGCAAACACTGTACATGCCACAGCGGCGAGGAAGCGAGATGGTGCTTGGCGCCGTAGCGGCCACGCGCCGGACGCCTTTGGCCGCGGCGCCCGTCAGCTTCACGCCACATCCAAGCGGAAGCAACACGAGACCCTCGTAACCCCATCCAACGGCCGCGGCCAGGGCGTCGGAAATGGCGGCCCGGGCGGCAATCATGGCATGTGCGGCCGCCGACTGACTTGCAGCCACGGCGCGCCAGGCGCCGCCAAGTGTCAGGCAAAGCTGAAACACAGCAACCCGGCAGGCACCCCGGCAGCAGCGCACTGTTGCACCCACGACAAATAGAAAGCTCAGGTTTGTCAGCTGGAGGGAATGAATGCGGTGCACGAGACGAGTAAAACCCTCCACAGTACGCCTTGCGCCGCCCACAGTGAAGCACACCACCAACTTCGCTGCACCAGGCAGTTGCTGCAGCGCACGCAGGCAGCGCACGCCTACCCCAACCGGCACAAATAACAGGAACGGCGTGAAATCTGCAAACCCTGCGCACTGCACTGCGCTTTTTGTTTTGCCCAGTCGCTCCGGCGGCAGGGGATGGTGCGCCTCACACCGTGGTTCCATGGACAGCGGCGTCGACCCCCACAGAGACGGCCCGCGTGCAGGCATGAAGCGCGATGCGGGGGTGCCGCTCCTTCCATTCTCGCCCAGCCGGCCCACGCGCCCCGACGCGTTGAGCCACGCCTCCCCACCAGCAGAGGCGCAAGGCACGGCGTAGTCCCGCTCGGCCCTTGCTGCGTTGAGACTCGCCGCCGCCAGCGACGCCCCCCGGGACGGCCTCAGTGATTCCCTCGGCAGCCCCAAACACGCCCCCGAGGCGTCGCTGGCGACGGACGCCCTGCCCGACGGGGAGGAGAGGCGGCGCTCCGCCGCGGCTGGGGCGCAGATGGAGCGCCGAACCACACGCTGGAGGCCCCAGACGCGCTCCTCCACGAGGCGCTGCACCGCCTCCACGGCCTCCCGCTCGAGCCGCAGAAGGTTGGCCTCGGACGCGGGGAGGCGCCTCAGCCGCTCGTCGAACTCCGCGTCGAGAATGCAGCGCACCAGCAGCACCTGCTCGAGGACGATGTCGGCGCGCCCGCGGGACTCCTGCTCTTCGCACAGCCGCCGGAAGGCCCTGAACATGCGACTCGGCGTGTCCGCCTCCTCCACCTCCAGCAGCATGTCGAGTTGGTCCAGCGACTGGGCGGAGCGCGGTGTCTGAAACCACGAGTCGTGGAACCGACTGGTCTCGGAGAACCGCGACGAGCTCCGCGCCGGAGTGACGCTGCCTTGCAGGGGTGCAGGGGCCGCACCTCGCTCCCCCGCCGCCGCCGCCGCAGCAGCAGCAGCAGCCACAGCAGCCACAGCAGCCGTTGAAAGGGCCGAAGGGGCTCTACGGCTGCTCGCGGGAAAAGCTGCGCGCGGGCCCGTGTTTGCCGCCGCGCGTGGCTCTTGGTGGCCGCCGCCGCCGCTCGGGTGCGGCTCTATTTTCTCGCCCCGCGGCCCCACGCAGGCGGCGTCGGGCGCCCTTTTCTCCGCGCTGCGTGCCGCCAGCGGGGCGAGCGACGTCCCCGCGGCGCCGTCCGTCGCACCGGTGTGGGGGTGCGGCCCGCCCTGCATGGGCGCCCCTTCCCCACCAAACGCCAGAGCGCCGAGAGACCGCCGCCGCGCCGCGCCGCAAGTGTCGTTCGCAGGCTGCACGGCCAAAAGCAAAGGCGGGAGTGTCTGTCTGTGTGTGTGTGTGTGTGTTTGCGTGGGTGGGTGTGTGGGTGTGGAAAAGCCAGCTGCATACGTGCAGAGACAGAGAGGGAAGAAGGAAAAAAAGGGGGAGGGGAGGGGGGAAGATGCAAAGAGACGGCGGGCGGTGGCAAACGTCCCACGGACACTCCCCTCAGCGAAAGCGGGAGGGGGGAGGGACGCGGAAGACGCAAGGCAGAAAAAAAAAAAAGTAGTGGGGGAGTGGGAAAACCTGTCGGGGGGAGGCAAACACGAAGGAGGGAGGGAAGGCGCGGAAGCAGAAGCCAACGGCCGAGGCGAAGGTGTGAAAAACGGACTGAAGAGGCTGCGGAGGTCGGGTCAGAATAATTAAAAAAAAAACACACGCACACGCGCAGAGAAAGAAAGAAAGAAAGAAAAAACCAAGACTTTGCCGTCCGCATCCGCCTCACTGGATCCCGCACGCGCCTTTTTGCCCCACCGCCTCCTCCCCATGCAGGGGCGCAGCAATGAAGCGAGCGCCGCACACCTCCTCACACGCACGCACCACGCAAAGAAAAGCCCACAATATTGTCGCTAGCGCAGGCTTAAGCAGAGGCAGCCGCCTTATCCATCAAAGCTAAAAAGACGAGCAAATAAAAAAAACAGCAGGCCATAAAACAAAACAAAACAAAAAGGTAAAGAAAGGCTCCACCACCGATGCTACTAAAGTAATCAAGCCCAGTCTTTGGTACTCAAACGATGACGGCAAAGCAACTGGAGAGGAGCGGCCTCAAATTTCCTAGGTTCCATGCACCACTGTAGAGAGTCGCCCCCAAGTTGCATGTACGTAATGTTTACGGTTAATTGATATACATATATAGCTACATATTCTCATCGCCGCCCATGGCGGGCGAAGACCAAAGGCCTCTCCTCCGCCACCGCCTTCCAGGCCGCCGTCTCCTCCTGCGTCAGCATTCGTCGCGATCGCCGCTCATGGGTCTCTAGCAGCAGCTGCTGAACACGCAGCTTGCGCAGAAACTGTCGTGCCTCTCGCTCTGCGCCTCTACCACCCGCCAGAGCATCACTCGTGTCTGTGAAGCTGTGTGAGGAACGCCGTGAGGACTCACGGGGTTTGCCGCACACCCCCGCACCCCCGCCGCCGCCGAAGGCAGCCACTGGGGTCGGCATCGGTATGGCGTACATCGCCGTTAGCCCCGCCGCCTCGTCCGGGACTCGCAGCGAGGCAAGGCGGAGGGGCGGCACAAAGTCTGGCGGTAGTGGCAGGTGCTCGAGTGGGCCGCACCAGAACACGTCAAAACACCACCATGGGTCCTCGTCGGCGCCCCACGAGCTGTCATCCTCCTCCTCCTCCAGCGCAGTTTCCTCCAGCGCAGTTTCCTCCAGCGCAGTTTCCTCCAGCGCAGTTTCCTCCGGCGCAGTTTCCTTCGGCGATGTTTCCTCCAGAGCAGCTTCCTCCGGCGCAGTTTCCTCCAGCGCAGTTTCCTCCAGTGCAGTTTCCTCCAGAGCAGTTTCCTCCAGAGCAGCTTCCTCCGGCGCAGTTTCCTCCAGCGCAGTTTCCTCCAGCGCAGTATCCTCGTCCATCGTTGCCGCCTCGGTGGTACTTGCAAAAGGGGCGTTATCGTCCTCCGCGTTCCTGGTGTTGGGCTCCTGCGCCTTGATACCGTCCTCCGCGGCGGCGGCGGCGGTGGTCGCCACGTCACTGCGGCTGCAAATGGCCTCCGCCTCGCTGGAGGAGACGCTGCTGCTCACCCCGTAGGCGATGGGCTGTTCGTGCGCGGCCTCCAGCGGCGTCGTGGCGGTGTCAGGGTCCTGCTCCCGCGTC